GGGGGGTAGCAATGCCACCGGAGCATCGTATCGGGCCCTCATACGTGCGGGGTGGTGTTGTGGCATGTCCGAAGAGGCGGCACGCGTCTCCGGTGCGTGGCCTCCCTCACGGACGGCGCCGTCGGCGGCACCTCGAGGGGGGAAACTGCCGCGTCGGTTCTACACGGAGTGGATGTAGCAGTGGTTTTGGCCCAGATGTTGCTCCCGGGTGTCCCTATGGGCCGACCTGACACAACCGGGTGGAGAGCTCCACTGGTCAAAGCCCGTCCGTGGGAAGTCAAATGGCTAGATCTCGTGCTCATCCGCTCCAGGGTTAGGCGGGACGGGGGCCCTGGGGGTAGCAATGCCACCGGAGCGTCGTACCGGGCCCTCATACATGCGGGGTGGTATTGATAGCCAAGAAGGTATATGTATTTCATAGAGCTAGCTAATAAAGCTTTTGTTAACTTCAAATAGGCTATTGAATGCAACGGCAAATAAAGAAGATGAAAGTGCCAGAGCTAAGAGCTAATATTCCTAGTTTGACATTACTTCCCTTTCCTATCTTTTTACTTTTCTTGAGGACGTAAGATTCTTCCTCACTCACACTTCAAAAAGTCCTTTTTCTGATGTAAATTCTGCAATTCTTCCATGTTTCCGCAGTAGCATATTGTTCCATCGAGCTAGGGTCCAAAATAGGAATCAACAAGTTAGGCCAAATGATTCTAAGCTTGAGGACCCATTCTATCCGGGCCTAAATGCTGGAGTTTCAGAATTCACTCTAATGATAAGTTCCTGTAGCATGTTGTTTGATAGCTCTAAACATTGCAACCTGATGTTATTTCTGTCATGCACAGTGATTTCTGCTAAGTCTGTGAACTGTTATTATTTGCAATCTTGCCATGTCCTTTTGAGCATGTTATAGTGTTTTCTCGAGATAGCTCAGTGTTCATGTTTTGTCGTGCTTTACCTGTACATCACGTCCATGCCATTTGTATTCATGTTGAAGTGTTGTAGCATACTGTTTTGATGCTTGCTAAATGCCTAGTTACTGTTTTGGACAGCTTGTCCTTTAAACTTGTTTCATGTGTATGTGTTGACCCGTTGCTCCGTTTTGAGTGTGCTCTATATGAAACCTTCTTAGAATTGCATGTAGTTTCATCTTATCATGTTGCATCCATGTTTTGAGAGTGTTTTCTTGATGTTTGAATGCATTTTTGCATCAATGCCATGGTTAACTTGTTTTGCTCATATCTTCTAGGCCGTAGCTCCGAACTAAATGAACTTTATATATAACTTGACTAGAATTTCGTGTAGATCATCTTGGTGCATCTTAACTTGCAGTTTAACAACTTGAACATAAGGTTTATTCATTTCTGGACCAATTTTGAAATTTGCATATGAGGACTTACCGGAATTGTTACATGATGTTTCCGGCCTCATTTAAACTTGCTTTGATGTGTTGTTCTTGTCTACATCATCTCTTGCCATGAGTAGCTTCATGTAGCCTTGTCATGCATCATGCTTAGTTGTGCATCATGTCATGTTTACATGTTGTGTGTTTACCGTATGTTTGCTTCTTTCCGGTTGTGCTCCTTCTCGTTAGTTCCTGTTTCGTTGCGATCGTGAGGATTCGTTCGACTATGCTTG